CACAGTCATTTTGATTTAGTGTAACTTTAGTGTAATTTAGTGTAACTTTTCCTTTTCTTTGTATGTCTACTTGTTCTCCATTGGCCAGGTGCACTTTTCCTGAAGCATTTGTGTATAGTTCATTAAAGAAGTTGATATCTGATGGCATATGTATGGAAGCACCACTATCAATTAGCCAAGGCTTCCGATTTTCTTTCATTTGTGCTAAATAAGATACACAACAATTAAATTGCTTTCTTTGGGAGAAATCCTTCTGTCTCTGTGTTTGAGTGTGAGATTGCTTGCTAATGCTGGCACTTGCATTTCTATTGAGCAGGCACTCCCTCTGGATGTGACCTGGCTTGTTACAACTGAAGCAGTGAGGGACATTTCTTTTTTTTCTTTTTTCTTTTTTATTTAAAGGCTTTATTCCCGCTCCTAAAAAGGAGAGATATTTCGCTTAATTAGAAAGGGGGAGGGTATACAGTGGGATCAAGAGAAAGCTGAGTGATGTTTTAACTAGTAAATTAATCTGTTAGTAATATAAATCTTTTCTTCTTTTTCTTCTTGAGCGTGCTGTCAAACTTCTTTCTTCATACCGGTTAAGTGCATTGTCTATATTAATATGTTAGTAGTGTCCCATTGGTGCCTTGTTGACAAAGTCTTTTCAAAGCGCATTTCGAACCGATTTTCTGCGGGCTGGCTTCTTTTAGCAAACCAGAAATCTTCCTTTTGAATATTATGACTGATGTAAGGGGTAAAGAAGAGAAAACGCTGCTATTGTACTGTATAACTGCTGCCAGAATAAGTTATGCCAGATATTGGAAAACTGAGAAAATTCCAGACAAATTAGAAGTCATTGAAAAATGGTTTGATGTCGCTGAGATGGATAAATTATCAAATGCACTAAAAGGGAAAGATGAAGAAATCTATAACAAGAAATGGAAAAGATTACTTGAATGGAAATGTAATTAACTGACTAGGATGTTATTAGGAAATTTTTGAGAGGAACTCCTACGGCTGTATGCCTGTC